ATGCACCAAGCATTAGGAAGATGCACCAAGCATTAGGAAGATGCACCAAGCATTAGGAAGATGCACCAAGCATTAGGAAGATGCACCAAGCATTAGGAAGATGCACCAAGCATTAGGAAGATGCACCAAGCATTAGGAAGATGCACCAAGCATTAGGAAGATGCACCAAGCATTAGGAAGATGCACCAAGCATTAGGAAGATGCACCAAGCATTAGGAAGATGCACCAAGCACTAGGAAGATGCACCAAGCATTATGCACCAAGAAGATGCACCAAGCATTAGGAAGATGCACCAAGCATTAGGAAGATGCACCAAGCATTAGGAAGATGCACCAAGCATTAGGAAGATGCACCAAGCATTAGGAAGATGCACCAAGCATTAGGAAGATGCACCAAGCATTAGGAAGATGCACCAAGCATTAGGAAGATGCACCAAGCATTAGGAAGATGCACCAAGCATTAGGAAGATGCACCAAGCATGCACCAAGCATTAGGAAGATGCACCAAGCATTAGGAAGATGCACCAAGCATTAGGAAGATGCACCAAGCATTAGGAAGATGCACCAAGCATTAGGAAGATGCACCAAGCATTAGGAAGATGCACCAAGCATTAGGAAGATGCACCAAGCATTAGGAAGATGCACCAAGCACTAGGAAGATGCACCAAGCATTAGGAAGATGCACCAAGCATTAGGAAGATGCACCAAGCATTAGGAAGATGCACCAAGCATTAGGAAGATGCACCAAGCATTAGGAAGATGCACCATGCACCAAGCATTAGGAAGAGCAAGCATTAGGAAGATGCACCAAGCATTAGGAAGATGCACCAAGCATTAGGAAGATGCACCAAGCATTAGGAAGATGCACCAAGCATTAGGAAGATGCACCAAGCATTAGGAAGATGCACCAAGCATTAGGAAGATGCACAAGCAAGCATTAGGAAGATGCACCAAGCATTAGGAAGATGCACCAAGCATTAGGAAGATGCACCAAGCATTAGGAAGATGCACCAAGCATGGAAGATACCAAGGAAGATGCACCAAGCATTAGGAAGATGCACCAAGCATTAAGAAGATGCACTAAGCATTGGGAAGATGCACCAAGCATTAGGAAGATGCACCAAGCATTAGGAAGATGCACCAAGCATTAAGAAGATGCACTAAGCATTGGGAAGATGCACCAAGCATTAGGAAGATGCACCAAGCATTAGGAAGATGCACCAAGAAGCATAGGAAGATGCACCAAGCATTAGGAAGATGCACCAAGCATTAGGAAGATGCACCAAGCATTAGGAAGATGCACCAAGCATTAGGAAGATGCACCAAGCATTAGGAAGATGCACCAAGCATTAGGAAGATGCACCAAGCATTAGGAAGATGCACCAAGCATTAGGAAGATGCACCAAGCATTAGGAAGATGCACCAAGCATTAGGAAGATGCACCAAGCATTAGGAAGATGCACAAGCATTAGGAAGATGCATTAGGAAGATGCACCAAGCATTAGGAAGATGCACCAAGCATTAGAAGATGCACCAAGGAAGATGCACCAAGCATTAGGAAGATGCACCAAGCATAGGAAGATGCACCAAGCAGGAAGATGCACCAAGCATTAGGAAGATGCACCAAGCATTAGGAAGATGCACCAAGCATTAGGAAGATGCACCAAGCATAGGAAGATAGGAAGATGCACCAAGCATTAGGAAGATGCACCAAGCATTAGGAAGATGCACCAAGCATTAGGAAGATGCACCAAGCATGCACCAAGCATTAGGAAGATGCACCAAGCATTAGGAAGATGCACCAAGCATGCACCAAGCATTAGGAAGATGCACCAAGCATTAGGAAGATGCACCAAGCATTAGGAAATGCATAGGAAGATGCACCAAGGATTAGATGCACCAAGCATTAGGAAGATGCACCAAGCATTAGGAAGATGCACCAAGCATTAGGAAGATGCACCAAGCATTAGGAAGATGCACCAAGCATTAGGAAGATGCACCAAGCATTAGGAAGATGCACCAAGCATTAGGAAGATGCACCAAGCATTAGGAAGATGCACCAAGCATTAGGAAGATGCACCAATGCATTAGGAAGATGCACCAAGCATTAGGAAGATGCACCAAGCATTAGGAAGATGCACCAAGCATTAGGAAGATGCACCAAGCATTAGGAAGATATTAGGAAGATGCACCAAGCATTAGGAAGATGCACCAAGCATTAGGAAGATGCACCAAGCATTAGGAAGATGCACCAAGCATTAGATGAAGATGCACCAAGCATTAGGAAGATGCACCAAGCATTAGGAAGATGCACCAAGCATTAGGAAGATGCACCAAGCATTAGGAAGATGCACCAAGCATTAGGAAGATGCACCAAGCATTATGCACCAAGCATTAAGATGCACCAAGCATACGGAAGATGCACCAAGCGGAAGATTAGAAAGATGCCCCAAGCATTAGGAAGATGCACCAAGCATACGGAAGATGCACCAAGCATACGGAAGATGCACCAAGCATTAGGAAGATGCACCAAGCATATGGAAGATGCACCAAGCATTAAGAAGATGCACTAAGCATTGGGAAGATGCACCAAGCATTAAGAAGATGCACTAAGCATTGGGAAGATGCACCAAGCACTAGGAAGATGCACCAAGCATTAGGAAGATGCACCAAGCATTAGGAAGATGCACCAAGCATTAAGAAGATGCACTAAGCATTGGGAAGATGCACCAAGCATATGGAAGATGCACCAAGCATTAGGAAGATGCACCAAGCATTAGGAAGATGCACCAAGCATTAGGAAGATGCACCAAGCATTAGGAAGATGCACCAAGCATTAGGAAGATGCACCAAGCATTAGGAAGATGCACCAAGCATACGGAAGATGCACCAAGCATTAGGAAGATGCACCAAGCATTAGGAAGATGCACCAAGCATTAGGAAGATGCACCAAGCATTAGGAAGATGCACCAAGCATTAGGAAGATGCACCAAGCATTAGGAAGATGCACCAAGAAGATGCACCAAGCATTAGGAAGATGCACCAAGCACCAGGAAGATGCACCAAGCATTAGAAAGATGCACCAAGCATTAGGAAGATGCACCAAGCATTAGGAAGATGCACCAAGCATTAGGAAGATGCACCAAGCATTAGGAAGATGCACCAAGCATACGGAAGATGCACCAAGCATACGGAAGATGCACCAAGCATACGGAAGATGCACCAAGCATACGGAAGATGCACCAAGCATTAGGAAGATGCACCAAGCATTAGGAAGATGCACCAAGCATACGGAAGATGCACCAAGCATTAGGAAGATGCACCAAGCATACGGAAGATGCACCAAGCATTAGGAAGATGCACCAAGCATTAGGAAGATGCACCAAGCATTAGGAAGATGCACCAAGCATACGGAAGATGCACCAAGCATTAGGAAGATGCACCAAGCATTAGGAAGATGCACCAAGCATTAGGAAGATGCACCAAGCATTAGGAAGATGCACCAAGCATTAGGAAGATGCACCAAGCATTAGGAAGATGCACCAAGCATTAGGAAGATGCACCAAGCATTAGGAAGATGCACCAAGCACTAGGAAGATGCACCAAGCTTTAGGTAGATGCACCAAGCATTAGGAAGATGCACCAAGCACTAGGAAGATGCACCAAGCTTTAGGTAGATGCACCAAGCATTAGGAAGATGCGCCAAGTACTAGGAAGATGCACCAAGCTTTAGGTAGATGCACCAAGCACTAGGAAGATGCACCAAGCACTAGGAAGATGCACCAAGCATTAGGTAGATGCACCAAGCACTAGGAAGATGCACCAAGCTTTAGGTAGATGTACCAAGCACTAGGAAGATGCACCAAGCACTAGGAAGATGCACCAAGCATTAGGTAGATGCACCAAGCATTAGGAAGATGCACCAAGCATTAGGAAGATGCACCAAACATTAGGAAGATGCACCAAGCACTAGGAAGATGCACCAAGCTTTAGGTTGATGCACCAAGCATTAGGAAGATGCACCAAGCACTAGGAATATGCACCAAGCTTTAGGTAGATGCACCAAGCATTAGGAAGATGCACCAAGCACTAGGAAGATGCACCAAGCTTTAGGTAGATGTACCAAGCACTAGAAAGATGCATCAAGCATTAGGTAGATGCACCAAGCTTTAGGTAGATGCACCGAGTCTTAGATAGATGCATTAAGCATTAAGTATATACAACACGCTTTTGGGAGATTCACCGAGCTTCGGATAGCTGCTCCAGGTTTATGAGACCAACCCTTATCCTCCGGTAGCCAGAACAAGACTCTGGCTCTCCACTAGACGAAGGCAGCTTCAGGATCACAGTGTCCCATACTCTTCTCTTTTATCCTAATAGTTTCTGGAGTGATATTACGGCAATCGAATAGATATCAGACCTTGGGGATCAGTACTCAATGTAAGTTGGATTTCTATCAACTGGCAATCTAGGTAGAGGGGTCATTGAGCCAAGACCGAGTGTGGCAGTCTTAGGGCACACTACCTAATACTTACAAGTGTAGCGAGACCAATGCCAAGGTAAGTCGAGTTTAGGTTTTATACCTGGCACACTAACTCATTCTTTAAGACTCAGTACAGAGGTGGGGTTCCGGTATCAATATATGTATGACTAGTCTGGACTGCTTATTAACCTGGCAGATAATTATACAACGAGTCTGGTCCCGTGAAGGCTTCTGGTATCATTAATAATAATTTATTAAATACCACTCTAATTTATTTACAGAAGATAATGGGATAATTTACTGTAATAGGTGACCATATTATGCTAATCAGAAGCCCTCTGAAAGTCATATCTTCTTGAAAGTGAATCCTAACTTGGTAATGTACTTGGTAATGCTCCCTCCTAACACACTGAGCAGTCTTATTATGGGCACTCGGGATAGTGACATCACGTACACAAGATAATACTTACATGGAGGTCCTCCTTCCTATGTGAACTAGCAGTAGAAGGATGACAAACCATCAGCCTCGAGAACAACACTGAGTTTGTGTACAGGTAACACCATGGGTCCTCACCAGACGACTCTTATGTGCACCACAGTTTGTGTACAGGTAACACCATGGGTCCTCACCAGACGACTCTTATGTGCACCACAGTTTGTGTACAGGTAACACCATGGGTCCTCACCAGACGACTCTTATGTGCACCACAGTTTGTGTACAGGTAACACCATGGGTCCTCACCAGACGACTCTTATGTGCACCACAGTTTGTGTACAGGTAACACCATGGGTCCTCACCAGACGACTCTTATGTCAAACATAAGCGAGATCTCAATTATCACGAAAAACGATCGAACAGTTCTGATTCAGCTGTACCATCAAAAATATTATATTCAGTATGTTAACACACACTGCACATGTCTTGGATGGGCATGTGCACTGGCTGTAGAGGATGGCTGCGCCACACATCTGATGGCTGTGGAGGATGACTGCGCCACACATCTGATGGTTGTGGAGGATGACTGCGCCACATGTGTGAGAGCTGTGGAAGATGGCGGCGCCACATGTGTGATGGCTGTGGAGTATGGCTGCGACACATGTGTGATGGCTGTGGAGGATGGTTGCACCACACGTCTGAAGGCTGTGGAGGATTGCTGCGCCACATGTAAGATAGCTGTGGAGGATGACTGCGCCACATGTGTGAGAGCTGTGGAAGATGGCGGCGCCACATGTGTGATGGCTGTGGAGTATGGCTGCGACACATGTGTGATGGCTGTGGAGGATGGTTGCACCACACGTCTGAAGGCTGTGGAGGATTGCTGCGCCACATGTAAGATAGCTGTGGAGGATGGCTGTGCCACACGTCTGCTGGCTGTGGAGGAAGTCTGCGCCACATGTAAGATGGCTGTGGAGGATGGCTTTGCCCATGTGTGATGGCTGTGGAGGATGGCTGTGCCACACGTCTGATGGGTGTGGAGGATGGCTGTGCCACACGTCTGATGGCTGTGGTGGATTGCTATGCCACATGCAAGATGGCTGTGGAGGATGGCTTTGCCACATGTATGATGGCTGTGGAGGATGGCTGTGCCACATATTAGATGACTGTGGAGGATGGCTGCGCCACATGTAAGATAGCTGTGAAGGATGGCTGTGCTACATGTAAGATGGCTGTGGAGGGTGGCTGTGCAACATGTAAGATGACTGTAGAGGATGTGCTGTGCCACACGTCTGATGGGTGTGGAGGATGGCTGTGCCACACGTCTGATGGCTGTGGAGGATTACTGTGCCACACGTCTGATGGCTGTGGTGGATTGCTATGCCACATGCAAGATGGCTGTGGAGGATGGCTTTGCCACATGTATGATGGCTGTGGAGGATGGCTGCGCCACATGTAAGATAGCTGTGCCACACGCCTGATGGCTGTGGAGGATTGCTGTGCCTCATGTAAGATGGCTGCGTCACATGTCTGATAACTGTGGAGGATGGGAGCGCCACATGTAATATGGCTGTGGAGGATGGCTCTGCCACACGTCTGATGGCTGTGGAGGATGGCTGCGCCACATGTGTGATGGCTGTGGAGGATGGTTGTGCCACACGTCTGATGGCTGTGTAGGATAACTGCGCCACATGTAAGATGGCTGTGGAGGATGGCTGTGCCACAGGTCTGATGGTTGTGGAGGATGGCTGTGCCACATGTAAGATGCCTGTGGAGGATGGCTGTGCTACACGTCTGATGGCTGTGAAGGATGGCTGTGCTACATGAAGGATGGGTGTGGAGGATGGCTGTGCCACACGTCTGATGGCTGTGGAGGATAGCTGTGCCACACGTCTGATGGCTGTGGAGGATTACTGTGCAACACGTCTGAAGGCTGTGGAGGATGGCTGTGCCACATGTGTGATGGCTGTGGAGGATGGTTGTGCCAAACGTCTGATGGCTGTGTAGGATAACTGCGCCACATGTAAGATGGCTGTGGAGGATGGCTGTGCCACAGGTCTGATGGTTGTGGAGGATTGCTGTGCCACACGTCTGATGGGTGTGGAGGATGGCTGTGCCACACGTCTGATGGCTGTGGAGGATTACTGTGCCACGCGTCTGATGGCTGTGGTGGATTGCTATGCCACATGCAAGATGGCTGTGGAGGATGGCTTTGCCACATGTATGATGGCTGTGGAGGATAGCTGCGCCACACGTAAGATAGCTGTGCCACACGCCTGATGGCTGTGGAGGATTGCTGTGCCTCATGTAAGATGGCTGCGCCACATGTCTGATAACTGTGGAGGATGGGAGCGCCACATGTAATATGGCTGTGGAGGATGGCTCTGTCACACGTCTGATGGCTGTGGAGGATGGCTGCGCCACATGTGTGATAGCTGTGGAGGATGGTTGTGCCACACACGTCAGATGGCTGTGTAGGATAACTGCGCCACATGTAAGATGGCTGTGGAGGATGGCTGTGCCACAGGTCTGATGGTTGTGAAGGATGGCTGTGCCACATGTAAGATGCCTGTGGAGGATGGCTGTGCTACACGTCTGATGGCTGTGAAGGATGGCTGTGCTACATGAAGGATGGCTGTGCTACATGAAGGATGGGTGTGGAGGATGGCTGTGCCACACGTCTGATGGCTGTGGAGGATAGCTGTGCCACACGTCTGATGGCTGTGGAGGATTACTGTGCAACACGTCTGGAGGCTGTGAAGGATGGCTGTGCCACATGTGTGATGGATGTGGAGGATGGTTGTGCCACACGTCTGATGGCTGTGTAGGATAACTGCGCCACATGTAAGATGGCTGTGGAGGATGGCTGTGCCACAGGTCAGATGGTTGTGGAGGATGGCTGTGCCACATGTAAGATGCCTGTGGAGGATGGCTGAGCTACACGTTTGATGGCTGTGAAGGATGGCTGTGCTACATGAAGGATGGCTGTGCTACATGAAGGATGGGTGTGGAGGATGGCTGTGCCACACGTCTGATGGCAGTGGAGGATAGCTGTGCCACACGTCTGATGGCTGTGGAGGATTACTGTGCAACACGTCTGAAGGCTGTGGAGGATGGCTATGCCACATGTGTGATGGCTGTGGAGGAAGGCTGTGCCACACGTCCAATGGCTGTGGGGGATGGCTGCGCCACATGTAAGATGGTTGTGGAGGATGGCTGCGCCACACGTATGATTGATGAGGAGGATGGCTGCGCCACATGTAATATTGCTGTGGAGGTTGGCTGTGCCACACGTCTGATTGCTGTGGAGGATGGCTTTGCCACAAGTCTGATGGCTGTAGAGGATGGCTGTGCCACACGCCCCATGGCTGTGTCACATGTGTGATGACTGTGGAGGATGGCTGTGCCAAACGTCTGATGGCTGTGGAGGATTGCTGCAACACACTTCTGATGGCTGTGGAGGATGGCTGTGCCACAAGTTTGATGGCTGTGGAGGATGGCTGTGCCACATGTAAGATGGCTATGGAGGATGGGTGTGTTACCCGTCCGATGGCTGTGGAGGATGGCTGTGCCACATTTGTGATGGCTGTGGAGGATGGCTGTGCCACATGTGTGATGACTGTGGAGGATGGCTGTGGAACATGTATGATGGCTGTGGAGGATGGCTGGACCACAAGTGTGATTGCTGTGGAGGATGGCTGTGCCACATGTAAGATGGCTGTGGAGGATGGGTGTGTCACACGTCTGATGGCTGTGGAAGATGACTGTGCCACATGTAAGATGGCTGTGGAGGATGGCTGTGCCACATGTGTGATGGCGGTGGAGGATGGCTGCACCACATGTGTGATTGCTGTGGAGGATGGTTGTGCCACATGTAAGATGGCTTTGGAGGATGGGTGTGTTACACGTCTGATGGCTGTGCAGGATGGCTGTGCAACATATGTGATGGCTGTGGAGGATGGCTGTGCCACACATCTGATAACTTTAGAAAATTGCTCTGCATCATGTAAGATGGCTGTGGAGGATGGCTGTGTCACACGTCTGATGGCTGTGAAGGAAGGCTGTGCTACATGTAGGATGGGTGTGGAGGGTGGCTGTGCCACACGTCTGATGGCTGTGGAGCATGGCTGTGCTACACGTCTGATGGCTGTGAAGGAAGGCTGTGCTACATGTAGGATGGGTGTGGAGGGTGGCTGTGCAACACGTCTGATGGCTGTGGAGCATGGCTGTGCCACATGTGCGATGACTGTGAAGGATTACTGTTCCACACGTCTGATGGCTGTGGAAGATGGGTCTGCCACAAGTCTAATGGCTGTGGAGGATTACTTTGCAACACTTCTGATGGCTGTGGAGGATTACTTTGCAACACTTCTGATGGCTGTGGAGGATGGCTGTGCCATATGTGTGATGGCTGTGGAGGATGGCTGTGCCACACGTCCAATGGCTGTGGAGGATAGCTGCGCAACATGTAAGATGGCTGCGCCACACGTCTGATTGTTGTGGAGGATGGCAGCGCCACATGAAATATGGCTGTGGAGGATGGCTGTGCCACACGTCTGAAGGCTGTGGAGGATGGCTGCCCCACACGTCTGATGGCTGTGGAGGATGGCTGCGTCACATGTGATATGGCTGGGGAGGATAGCTGTGCCACACGTCTGATGGCAGAGGAGGATGGCTGCGCAACATGTAAGATGGCTGTGGAGGATGGCTGTGCAACAGGTCTGATGGTTGTGGAGGATGGCTGTGCTACGTGTAAGATGGCTGTGGAGGATGGCTATGCTGCACGTCTGATGGCTGTGAAGGATGGCTGTGCTATATGAAGAATGGGTGTGGAGGATTGCTGTGCCACACGTCTGATGGCTGTGGAGTATAGCTGTGCCACATGTGATATGGCTGTGGAGGATTACTGTGCCACACGACTGATGGCTGTGGAGGATGGCTGTGCCACACGTCAGAAGGCTGTGGAGGATAACTGTGCAACACGTCTGATGGCTGTGGAGGATGGCTGTGCCACATGTGTGATAGCTGTGGAGGATGGCTGTGCCACACGTCCAATGGCTGTGGAGGATGGATGCACCACATGTAAGATGGCTGTGGAGGTTGGCTGTGCCACACGTCTGATGGATGT